ATTTAAATTTAGTTAGAAAAATTCGTTCGTTGAAATTTATACAAAAAATTTATAGTTGGAGATTTAATGGTTACTTGAGACCTAATAAAAAAATGCTGTTTTTAAGAAATAAGCTTTACTTAAGAAATTGCTTCGTATTTATTTATTTATTAGAGTATTTCATTCAATCCCACAACACTCCGTTTTCGTTTTTAACTCATAACTTTTTTTCCTAAATAGCAAACTTAATTTTGAAAAAAGATTCTTGATCAGCGTAAAAATTTGTACTAGTAAACATTTTAAGTTCAATGATACTGAGTACATGGATTTATAGTCTCATTTCCGTTCCGTTCCGCAAATTATCTCAAAATTGTTTACATTTCTAGAATTAGCGAAGATTTGAGAAAAAATTAGAGAAGCAGAATATGACATTGATATTACTTTCATAAAAAATATTTAATATAATATTTTTTTAACGCTATATATCTCTCCAAGGCAAATTTATCACTAACTCTAGTTAGAAATATTTATCTTAATTTAATGATAAACTATAACGTTTCTTATCGCTTATTTTCTGTATGACTTCATAAAATTACAATACATAACTACAAACAACAAAGCAGTGCAACAGCCAATAGCTCAAAATTATGGTTATGTGTCAACTACAACACAAGCATCAATTGCTGTGAAAAATATCAAACAACACTTATTAAAAGGTGCGGTTTTGAGCATAGAAGTTACAGATTTTAGTATGTAAAACATAAATGAAGTCCAGTCGCACCAAATAAACACAAATTAATAACAAAAATTCATCATACAAGGGCTTGATTATTGCTAAACAAGGACCTTGTTTAGCAATAATCAAGAATACCATTAAATTTTATTTTGTTTCATTACAAATAATAATTTATTTAACAAACGGTGCTCCTTTTTGTGCCAATACAACTTAACTTGTATGATGAATTTTTGTTATTAATTTGTCAACCTTTTCAAATTTGTCAACCTTGTCAAATTTGTCAACCTTGTAACCTTGTCAAGGTTAATACGAGTGCCACTGTTTATGGTATCAACAAAATAAGATCACCATTCTCTAGAGTCCGCATTTCAAAACATCGCTACACTCAAGAGGACATATTATTACTTGTGAATAGCTAAACAGTAATTTTTCCTTAAGTTAAAGATGAAATGTAAATTAATAATATTGACTTCTTTTTTAATTAGAGGAATACCACTCTGAATAACAGTCGATAACCTCTGGCTGTGAATTTATTAAACTTATTACACAGGGACTAAAAAGTTTCAGTATGTGTTTTTTGCCTCTCTTTCTCTTTCTCTCTCTCTCTCTCTCCCTATATATATATATATATATATATATATATATATATATATATATATATATATATATATATATATATATATATATATATATATATATATATATATATATATATATATATATATATATATATATATATATATATATATATATATATATATATATATATATATATATATATATATATATATATATATATATATATATATATATATATATAAATAATAAAAAGTAATGTTAAAGTAAGGGGTCGTCCATAAAGTACTTACGCTTTTTTTTGCCAACCCCCCTCCTCACTAAAGTACATACGCTTTTAACCTACTAACCCAACATTTTATGATACTTTTTTTAATTTAGTGTCTCCATACTTTTATAATTGACCTACTGCCCCTTTATCTCAGAAACGCCATTTGCAGACCTCCTCTTCCTCTCTGAGCTTACGTACTTTATGGACGATCCCTAACGGTGAAACATAACGTTAAACAAATGTTAAACAAAGATTTTCTCAATGACAAAGGTTCACTTATAAAAAATTTAACACAGAACCTAATTCTCTGTGTTCTAAAAAAGAGTCTAAATATACCTAAAGTGTTCAAAATGTGGCAATACTCTGGTAAAGTATGTTTTTCTATTTTAAATTAATATGAAAACGTTTTTAAATAAAAAAAAATGAAAATTTTTTAGGTTTGTAGTAACAGAGGTTCTTTTAGGACGCTGATGTTATAACTAAATCTGCCTGGATTGATTCTCAACTAATTTTTAAAAAAAGATACAAAACTTATTATTGACGACAAAAAAATATTAAGATCGTAACCATAATTGAGTTGATAATCGAAACTTTAAAAGCTATGTATAATTGGATTTATCAATTAACTTTTTTTGATAATAAGAAACGCTACAAATGTATAGACAGAAGAATAAGAATCCAAAAAGTTTTTTCAAGAAATCAAAGAAAAAAATTTCATAATATGCATGGAGCCAGGTAGAAAATGTTTTACTTCATACCCTTATTTTTTTATTTAGCACGTTTATTACTTCATATTTATTGAAGTAATAGACGTCCCAAAGTAGTTGCCAATCGTTTGATCAAATGAATGATTCAACATGGTATTTACAAATTGATATTAGATTGAGAGGTGATTTAATATTGTAATTGCTTCATTGGAAAAAAGTCCAATACAGTTTATTGAAACAAAAAAGAATTAAATTTTGAACTGCGTAATTCATATTAATAAACTAATAGTTAAAGATCTATTTATCTTCTCGTAAGATGTTTTTCTTTTTCAACCTCTAGGTTCCTTAACCCTATTTCATACGGTTATCACCCCTTTTCTCTGGTTATCAGTAACATCACAAATATGTGATTTTACTGATAACCAGAGTAAACCCACATGTTTGAAAAAAAATATCAGTTAAGAATTAAAAAAGATTACCCATTTTTGTATTTATTATTTTTTTCATTAAAATTCTAGCTTCTTTAAACAAAGTTGTTGTTACATTAGTAAATTAAATAAAGACTTAACAATCTTTTTAAAGATAAAACTATTAATACTAAACTTAAAAAAAATAAAAATAAGATCAATGGTCAATAAAATGTACTTTTCTTATTTTTTAGGTCATGTTAATATTATTTTTCCCTCACTAAATATATATATATATATATATATATATATATATATATATATATATATATATATATATATATATATATATATATATATATATATATATATATATATATATATATATATATATATATATATATATATATATATATAATTGAATTTATTTACAATCAATAAAATTTACAAACTATTGATAAAAAGTTTCATGCCTGGTTGCTCTGCGATGAAAATTTCTTTAGCTTTCAAAAGAAAGTAGTCTTTAGCTTTCAAGTTACAGTTAAGTGTTTTAATAAAGATGTTTAAAGTTGTTGATATTTGCTGAATTCACCGTGTTTTGGGTTAAAGTATTCAATCGTTTGACCACACGAATAGTGAAGAAGTTGTTTTTTTCCGCTTAGTTTAGAACAAATTGTACTTGAATTGTTTTGTGCGTCTACGAGCTCAAAAACTGCATTTTAACGATGAGTTTGATTAAGCATGTTCGACTTTGACTATATATATTATTTTTATGTTATTTAGGTGCTTCAAGAAGATCTAATGGCCTTGTCACAGAGCACCGCGGAAGTGCATTTAACCAGGAAGTTCACGCCTCCTTCCTTACCGTGACGCGAAAATATGCCCAGAGCTCGTTTCGAACCTAAATCTCCTGCTTATAAAGCAAGCGCTGTAATCACAGCGACACGGCCGCACAAATATATATTGCGCTGAATATGTTGACAACATGGCTTATACTGCAAGTTCAAATGTGGGCAAACAATGCAATATACAATCTGTGCCATAGTATGACTACGGCCTCAAAAAGCCCTCTTAAGCATGCTAAACATACGGATGACAGCTAATGCAGTCGTGGGTACTTGTTTTTGTAATCTTTAAATCATTAGTCATTACAACACCTAGATCTCGTTTAGATGTTGTGCATAATAGCTGGTTCCGTTGGCCAACAATGTTGTTCATTGTGTAGATTTCAGTTGTTTTTTCGTTGTTGCTGCGACTGGTGTGCATGACTTTGTTCTCATCGATATTAAAAGACATAAGCCAAGTGTGTGACCACTTCACTGCTTTATTGATGTCGGCCTAAAGTTTTTTAATGTTTTTGTTTAATTTGATAACTTCAATTATTTTACAGTTGTCTGCATACATTTTGAAACGGTGAACATTTTTTTTCTGGGCGATCATTTATGTAGATGAGAATAAGAGTGGTCCAAAAACACGGCACACGGCTAGAGATTGTTTTCCATTCAGATTTATTATTAAAAATGGTTACACGTTGTAGATGGTTGATTAGCCAGCTCTAAATCCATTTCATCAATTGCAAGGTGTCAGTCATCCTGTACAATTTGAGCTTGCACAGTGGAAAACAGTATTAAACTTTGTTAAATACTTTTGCAAAGTCTTTAATTATGATGTCGATTAAGTGACCTTTGTGGGCAGCTTCTGTCAGAATGTCGCAAGTTTTAAGTAACATTTTTCTATAATCAGTAAATTATTCAGGTATAAGACTTTTCATTGCCTTGCAAGAGACAGAAGTATGTGAGTTTGAAGGATTTGACTTGCAGCCTTTTTTGAAGATATTAGTGATTTTAACTTTCTTCAATTGAGACGGTATTATGCCGGCCATATATAACAACACTATATTTTTGCCTTATCTTTATAAAAATGATTTTGTTATACGTTCAAAAAGAATTAAAAATAAATATCGAAAAAATTTTATATGATTGGTTGTAAAAAGTTTTAAAAGGTTGTTCAGTATTTAATATTAAATTAACCTACGTTTGATCGTATAAACTGAATTTAAAACAAATAATAATAAAAGGCGTCTTATTGTAAAAAACAAAAAACAAAAAAAAAATGTTTTTTTATCATTATGAACACGTCTAAGCCTAAAGAAGAATAGTTTATTTGATTCCTAAAAGATAAGCCAAATTGTGCAAGATCGATACAATAAATCCGTTTCGCCTAATATTCAAGGCAAATTTTGCCATTGGTTGTCGCAACTTTATATAAACAATCAGTTTTTCAATTTACTTATCGACAATAGAATAGATTTTTATAAACTTTACCTTATATAGTAGAATAGTAATCACAAAAGCTAATAACGTAGCGCCTAATGCAATTGCTATAATGGCCCACAACTTTAACTTTGCCATAAGTTGACCTAAAAAAAATACAAAAACAATTTAAATATATTTATAACCTAAAACTAATCCAAAAGCCGAAAGTAAACATCTAGTAAAACAAAGAGAGAATCTGGAAGGTTAATAACTACTATAGATTACAATTGTACTGTTTTGCAAACTGTGCAGAGGAGCACTAAAGTCCTAAACTTATTATTACATAAAAGACAATGCTGATTAAAAAAAATAATTAAAAAAAAGTTAGTTTGGATAAAAAGAAATGATGCGTAAAATAATTTTTGTTTTTTAATACAAACATTTTATACAAGTAAATCTTAGGTATTGATGAACTTATATGCTGCATCGTGGAATAATAATTAAAATTTAAAATCGTTGAAAAAGGTTACTTACAATAAACTGCTCATCTGTTCGTTTTGATTTGACTCCGCTCTATTTTTATTTTGATGTTTGTTTGGTAAAGTTAACATTGTCGAAATTATAAAAAGTGTTGAATAAATATGGATTTGATTATATGCTCTCGCCTTTTGTGAAGTTGGTTAAGTTTTCTAAAGGTTTGCCAAATAAAACAAAAAATTCATTTGTTTTTAAAAAGTACTCAGTATGATGAAAATAAAAATAATTAGGTATGATTTAAAAATACATATAACAGTTTTGATTGTTTTACTAAATACTTGATGCTTAAAAAATAGTTTAAAATAATCTTTGCGCTAATTAAAAAATATTAATGTGTTAAAAATTGTAAAATTAGACTCGTTTACAAAATGTTAAAAACGATTTATTTAATTATAGAGAATAAAATTGTAACGTGTCATAAAGTATGTTTTATAGTTAGAACATGCTAATCTAATCTACAAAAAAAAACTTCAGTTGTCCTACTGAGGACAAAATTGAAGAAAAATTTTCTAAAGGTTACATTTTTATCGTTTTAAGATAAATAAATGAAAAATAATTATTATCCGGTGAAGTATTTTTTGAATCTCGATAGTTTTGTATTTATAAATAAAGATAATGAACAAATTTTTTTTTTTCGCATTAACATAGTTAGATTTTTAACTTTTTCAAAAAGTAATGCGAATGTTAAAAAAACAAAATGTTTGAAAAAATGAACTTAGCTTCTTTTTGGAAAAACGACTTTAACTGGTTTTTAAATGACTTTTTGATTTATGGCGATATTTCTTTTTTAACCGAGTTATAAATTTAACTAATATCAAATAATTTAATTTTCAACAGATTATAGATGGTTTTCATTTTAACCAACTTGTCTGAATTTTTAACGATTTTTTAAGCAGAGTTTTCATAGATTGACTGAGGGTTTCAGTTTGAGGGTTTCAGCTAGGGCAAACCTAGATACTTTTTAATAAAAGAAAACTCTTTCAAAAGTTTTAGGCTCGTTATATGTTCAAAGTAAATTACGGAATGTACACATTCGTTTCAAAGTAAATATAAAGTTAGTTTCTAGGTAACTATGTAATTATGAAAATGTTGTCATGTTGACAATCAAAAACCTCATTACTTACAATTTTAGGAAGTTAAAAATTAGGTTATGTTATAGGCCATCATCATAAAAGGTTAAATGCAAAGTATTATTAACAACAGGTGAAAAAATAAAATTATATATATATATATATATATATATATATATATATATATATAGTATATATATATATATATATATATATATATCTGTGTGTGCGTGTGTGTGTGTATAAATAATAATTAAGGGATTGAAAGATAAATATGCATATTTAATATATTTGTTTTTATTTATGTTTACATTAATAAAAAACTCACAAACATTTTTTTTTATTCCATAAGATGTTAACACTTTGTAAAACATGGCATCTTCTAAAAGCGTGTTTACTATCTGAATGACCACTTCAGTATTCTAATATTTTGGAATTAACTGAACTCAATAATCAGTTAGCAAACAATTCTTTGTAATTTATTAGAACCTCGGAAACAATTGGCAAGTTATTTAATCGTTTATATCTATATTTTGACTTGCTTTCAGCAAAGTTTTCTCTTAAAAATGTAAAATTCCACGTAAAACATAACAATGTTTTGGGTTAACCAAGATGACGGCCGACTTTCAAAACTGGCTTCACCATGTTTTATATAAAGTATATACTACAGTGTTTCCTGTTTATTAAACCTCCTTGGATTTGAAGCAATTTAACATTTCTTTCAAACACCTTTTTACCTTTTAATTAAACTTTTAAACTGAAACTCTCCTTCACCTTTTAATATAACCGTTACGCTGGTAAGTACAAATATTTTACTTATATCCATTAGTTACACATTCAGATATAATTTTTGAAAATTTATTTTTAATTTATTTTTATGATGATATATATATATATATATATATATATATATATATATATATATATATATATATATATATATATATATATATATACATATATATATATATATATATATATATATATATATATATATATATATATATATATATATAATATATATATATATATATATATATATATATATATATATATATATATATATATTTATATAAAAAGGCAGCATACAACTATTTTTAAATATATTTTGATGTAAAAAAATATTAACAATATTTCGCTGACCTATTGTGGTCAGCGTTATCAGATAATTATTACCTGATGATGATAATTACCTGATGACACTGATCACAGCGTCATGTTATAATATAATAATTTATATGTATGCATTTTGTATTTGAGAGTGACAGAATCTAAAAATGTAGGTATAGCTTATATATAAGCTATACCTTCATTTATAGGTTCAATCACTCTCAAACACAAAATGCATATACAAAAATAGTACCATATATATGGTATTATTTTTAGCACTTCTCTAAACGACTACTTCTATGCCATTGTTGTTATTGACAATAATCTATCGGATACATTGATTTTCGATTCATATATGATGTTTTTCTTTGTATTTACTTATTCGTTATATTTTTTCATTACAGATTTATCAAATGATGGATTTATGCAATATAGAAGAACAAAGTATTTTAAATTTTTATGAATTTTTTAAAAACATCTACTAATAATTAGTCCAGTCAACGTTCAAACTTCAATGTATGCATATCATATGCAACATCGAAGTTTAGACTTTGACTGGAGCATATGTCATATGCATTTTTAAGTAGTTTCTAGCCATTTTGTGTGTATATATGTGTGAACATATAATGTGTTTACTTATTTAGGTCAGGTTACTAACCTGAGTGTGCATTGTGTATATGTATGTATTATGTGTATGTGTGTATGCTTGTATATGTATATATGTGTATGTATATGTATGAATGTATGTGTATATGCGTGTATATGTGTATGTGTATATGTGTGTGTATATGTGAATGTATGTGTATATGTGTGTATATGTGTATGTATGTGTTTGTGTGTATATGTATATATGTATGTATGTATATGTGTGTATGTATGTATGTTTGGTGTGTTTATATATATTTATATATGTATATGTGTATGTATGTATAATTTATATGTGTGTGTCTTTGTGTGTATGTGTGTTTGAGAGTGAATGAATCCATAAATGTAGGTATAGCTTATATGGTATTATTTATAGCACTTCCTCAAACGAACGCTTCTATGCCCTTAATGTTATTAAGTATTATTATTATCTCTATAATTGACATTATTACTCTTACTATTACTTACTGAAGTGGGTAATATTAGGCTCAAAAAAGTTATTAATGTAAATGCTCATCGAGCAGAAAACTTACTTGCCAGAATTCAGTGTCAAGCAGTGTTAATGTCTGTTAATTTGATTCTACTTTAGACAGTTCAAAGCAAAGTATGAATTTTACTATATATACTAACAATAACAGTTTTAAATTCAAATGATTTTAAGATTTTTTTAATTTTTAAATTTAAATGATTTTAAATTTCAAACATAATTATGTTTGTTTTTTTTAGTTGCCTTTGTCATCACTTGATTAGTTAGCTTACTGTCGAAACATGGTTTTAATTTTGTAAATTTAATATAATGTAAAATTTACTCTATTATTCATTAGTCAACAATTAGAGAGAAGCTGGAGTTTAATTAAGAAATGCTGGAAATTAATTTAAATCAAGGTGAAAATAATTTTGTTTACTGATAACATAATAAAACTAGTTATTACAATTTATTGCGTATTTTTTTACGCAATAAATTGCATAAAAAAAATTGCAATAAATTATTATAACTATTGTTAATGTATTTTGTGTTGGTAGACCTAGTCTGTTATAGCTCTTTTATTCTTTATACATTCTGTTATATTATTATCCTAGTTCTACCAACAATAAAATGCAAATAATACTTTTTTAATTAAAAATTGAATTTTTTTTTTTTTCATTTCTTTTTTTAGGTATTTGCAGGCTTTACTTCACTTTTATTTTCTGGTACCTGTGTCGTGACATGTTTTAAAAAGAACTTAACTGATGTTAATGCTTTATATCGTTAACTACAATAGTAGAATATTTTTAGTTTTTTATTTGTAAATATTTTTATTTTATGATCTGGAAATAAAAGTATAATAATTAGAAATTTGTTTATTTTGTGTATTCAACTAACTATAAATGATAGAATATTTTATGCGGGCAGTAATACTGTTTGTGTGGTAAAATTTTATATACAGTCAATCACTATTAAGTAGTAACTAGAGTTATAAGAAAAGTTATACTTTGTTATTATGTTATATTCAAAATATAACATTTGCACTTTCAATTAAAGAGCAAAAGCGAATTTAAAAAATCGCGAAAAAGTCATATAGTTGGGCCGGTAATGGTACCAACTGTTAGCCAATTGTTTTATTACTGTTGGGCCGTTAATGTTACCAACAGTTTATAAAACAGTTGATTATGTGTTGGTAAAAGCGTTACGTTTTTTTCACGGTACCAACTAAAAGCCGACTGTTGGCCCAACTGTAGCTAATAGTTGGTTAATAGTATCGGGCCAACTACTTACCAACTGTTTAATGTTTACTGGGAACACTGTATTTTTGCCAAACATTTCTTTTCAACATTTATGATGTAAAAGACTTGTATTGGTAATAAAAATAGTCAAATAAAAATCGTCTCAAAAACATTAAATCTTTACAAATTTTGTTTATTACTTGATGATGTTAACGAAAGATATTCTTATCTATTGATGTATAAAAAAAATGTCGGTTGGTAATCTAAAGGAGTGATCTTAAATGTTTAGGTCGCTGTATCGATATTAATACATTTTTTTGTCGTCAAAAGATTTCAAATAACCGGACAATTGCTTGCAAAAAGTTTATTTTGTTACAAATATGACAGCTCATTTTAACAATTTCAATAAAATATTGCGAAGAGGAATTTACCACAATGATCTGTAGGTAAAGAGATCATCATTAGAAAATTTTAACCATCAAAAAAATGAAGAGTTTTTTTGCCAATCATTTTACAGAGATCAGCAGGTAAAATTTGCTTTATCATTTTTAATGCATCTATTTACGATAAATACGGAATGAATTTTAAACCGTTCTAAAAGGTCAATAATAAAATTTTCAGTAGATCATAAATGGAAAAAACTTTCAAATTCTAAAAAAAAAGACCTAATTATATTTGAAACATGGAATAGTCTTCCTGAGAGTAACTATTAACTTAAGCTGGTGCAATTTAGACTCTTGACAATTTTCAAATCAACACATTATTGTGAACAGAAGTTAAACATTAAAAGTATCATCAGATTAGCAAATTAAAAACATCTATTTAGGAACCTGATGTAAAACAAATCTGTAAATCAATTCACAAAAGCTTCGCTTTTTTATTAATTTTTTTTTCTTTAATTATTGATTTATTTGTTAACTTTAAAATATGTAAAAATATGTAATCGAGACACTTAAATATCATTGTAATCAAGACATTTAAATATCATTGTAATCAAAACATTTAAATATCATTGTAATCAAAACATTTAAATATCATTGTAATCAAAACATTTAATATCATTGTAATCAAAACATTTAAATATCATTGAATATCATAAAATAATAAATTGTTGATCTTCAGTTTTTTACGCATCAATGCGGCTCTTGGTAAGTTTTAAAAAGTAAGGAAAAATGGATTTCTACTTAAAACAGGATGCCGACCTCAGGCCCGTCCAGAACCTTTGTGATGCCCGGGCCCAAAAGTTTAACGGATGCTCTATCATACTTCAGGTCTTTAAATGATAAATAGCAAATAAACTAGTATAGTTGTTTTTTGTTTACTTTCAAAGAAAAACTAAAATCACATTTAACTATTTTTGGTTTTCGTAAAATCATGTCTTAATAGACAAACACATTTTACGGGCCTTCTTAGCGGCAAAATTTAAAATAACTTCTTCATAAGAAACGTTATTGGCTGAATCTGATTCAATTGAAAGGGTCATCAAGTGTAGCCTAATCGCTCCTGGCTCATTGTGAAACGAAGAAAATCTTTTATGATAGCTAACTTGCTGAAAGATGTTGAAACAGGCAATGTTAGAAAGAATCTAAGTGAAACACACACTTGTGGAATTATTGAATGCAGCCCCTTTGCATAAACTTCATTTAGAAACTTGACATGATTTTTGCTGGCTAGAATATTTCTTCTTACGGAAAAAAAACATGCCAAAATTTATCAGAAAATTCGTTTTTACATAAGTCTTCTAAGCAAAGTTCAGTCAGATTTTCAGCTTTTAAACATAGTTCTTCTGCTGTTACAAAAAAATTCTTACATTTCTCTTTATTACTTTTAATCTTGATCTCATTTGACTTCGTTATTACGCTTGACAGTCAGATTGTCAAGCGTAATAACGAAGACATTACGCTCAAAGTTTTTTAATGCTTCTTCGTGGTTGTAACTATCAGTTTCATTAGGGAAGACCTTCCTTTTTTGCGTTCTCTTCACTGCAATCATGATTTCATCAAATTTCAAGTTCTTTTTAATTATTGTTGCCTCTATCAAAATCAGGTCTCAAGACAAACGGATTCTATCCAGATCCGTTAAAAGGCCATTTAGAATCTTTACTTTCTCATTGAGTTCATTGGATTGAATTAGAAGATCATGGTTTTAACTACTATTGAACATTTAAAACTAAAAGTATTAAAAACGACAAATTCAAAAGAATTAATCCATTTATTTAGATAATGCACTTCATTACTACTTTCACCTGCAAGGTCTAATTCTTTTAGACGATGTAATGATCTTAAGATTTCTTTTAGATTTTTTTCTAATGGCTTGAATGCTTCAATTTATGAGCTCCATTGTGTAACAGAAAGTTTATTTAAAAATTGCCTTGTCTTCTCCTGAAGAATTTTATAACAAACTAGGCTGAAGCTGAACAGATTGTATAGCTTTTGAACAGAAAGTAAAGCTTGAACTCCATTTTTAATACCTGCCATATTAGCGCCATTATCGTAGTCTTGACCATGACAATTTTTTATGTCAAACACATTCAATATCAACTTTGTTATATCAGATCTCTTCTTCCTTTAAGCTCTTCTAGCTTAAGTAACTTTTCTTTGACCTCCCACAGCTAATCATCACTGAAATGCAAAAAACAAAAAAAAATTAATTTGTTCGCTGTTGGACAAATTGGAAGTGCTGTCTGCGATCATGGTAAAATATATTGATTTTTTGGTTTCTCAAATAATTTCTCGAATCATTAATTTACCGCACTCCTCAATAAATTCATTCTATGATTTCCAAGATTAGTAATGAGCTTGCATGCGTTTTTATTCTTCTCGGTGCTCCGCAATAAGATGCATATGATTCTGTAACGTTTTATTGTGGTGAGCAATTAGTTCTAGCGCTCATAGCACAATTCCATTCTCATTTTTAAACAACTTTTAATTGGATCCTAATTGCTAATATCAAGCAAAAAATAATCATAATAGTAATCCATATTTGTATCAAATTATAACTAATAATTTTGATTTTTAAATTAAAAATAAAATAATGCAAAATAAAATTTAAAATTTAAAAACAATATTCTTACCCCTAAAAGACAAATTTCTTGAAACTAGAAAAATTGTGACGTTAAGAATGCTTTGTAAAATTACTTTCCATCGCTTTGTTTCATCTCTGATTTGTTTTTCTAATTAATGATCAATGGACTTTTAAATTTTCAAGTGAATCGTAGCTGTTTACCATTCAAGATAGTTACAGTGAATAACTCTTTGTTGATGACTTTTAATGCGATCAGAAAGTTTTCTTCAATTTTCATGTATACCTCGAGTCCGAGACAATAAACTGGATTGAACACCGGTTCTGGTAAAATTACGCGATCCAAAAAGGGAACAAGGGAAACAAATGAGTAATGCCACAGCCTTACTCAAGTCGAGTCTCTTCTATTTTTCTCCGTTTCTTTGTTCTTCTATAAAGGTATAAGTAATGAGTTTGTGTTCTTTTTGATCTCTTGAAAAATTGCCAGGGAGTCCCATCAAAATTAACATTGTTTGATAAGTGTCTGATATTGATTTCCATAGTGCGGGATTGTTAGAGGTTGATCTATTACGTATAGAAAGATCAATTTTATATATTTTTTTGGCCGTTGTGAAGATCAACTACAAAATCCATCTGATTTTTTTTAAATGATGACGTTTTTTAGGAAACATTGATGTCACCGGCAAGAAAAAGTCTGAACAAAAAGTCAACTTATTAATATCATATAATAATTAATATTTTAGTTACTTAATTAATTATAATTATTTCATTTATAAAACGTATTTAAATTCATTTATTATGCCGCGTTTCGTATGTTCTTTTCCGTTAAGAATTGTTTCGTAAGTTGCGAAACAGCTTCATTTCGAAAAAAATTTATTTTTTTGTCATTGTTTTAAAACATAAAAAAACTTAAAATGTCATTATGTTGCGATACTGAAAATAAATTTTTATTATAAACATTTTGGTATATAAAGATTTTATTTATTACAATTATATCAATTTGAATATAAAACTTCAAAAACATCGTTTCGCAAAAACATCGTTTCGCAAAAACATCGTTTCGCATCGTTTCGTGCGACTTCCGTTAGTGCTACTGTCGTAAAGGAACATCAACGATTTTAGATGTTTCGTAATACTCGGTACGAAAAAATAAACTTCTTATTCTTAATATCCTTCCGAAAGAATTTTATTTTTCCGAAATTGTACGAAATCTTCCGGTTAACAACTCTAGTCTCTTAGCACTTTTATATAAGGAAGTATAAGAAATTTATATACAGATTTGTAAATATATATGTAATAACAATATATCATTTAAATTTACGCAATTGCAAAAATTCCATTTGGATAGCGTTACGTACAAGTAGCGTGTAACGTCTGTAAGCGTGTAGTGTGTAACTACTCGCTTACATCTCTATGTGTGTTGCATATAAATGCCTGTAAGTTACGTGTAAACGTCTTTAGCATAAGTTGAGTTGCTGGTGGTATATGGAACGATCGTGTATAGTATATAATTTACGCAATCGCTCCATCTACACCCCGCAA